CATAATATCGGAAGGAAGAATGTTCCAGACGGCCCGCAGAAGCGCGCATCTGAAAGAGCGCGATGCAGCGACTGTCTTTGTTCGATGGCCAGCAAAAAGCCGCTGCGTCGGGCACCGGTGGTTGTGAAACAGTAAAAGGGAAGGAATTAAAAATACAAAGGAGCCGCCAAAACTACAGCAGCCTCGGACCTCGAACAAACTTAATCCCGTACTCGTTCCGCACAGGGCGTGGACAGAATACAGCTGTTCCAACCACAGCATATACAGCTGTTCCAACCACAGCATATACAGCTGTTCCAACCACAGCATATACAGCTGTTCCAAGCACAGCATATACAGCTGTTCCAATCACAGCATACAGCTGTTCCAACCACAGCATATACAGCTGTTCCAAGCACAGCATACAGCTGTTCCAACCACGGCATATACAGCTGTTCCAAGCACAGCATATACAGCTGTTCCAACCACAGCATATACAACTGTTCCAATCACAGCATACAGCTGTTCCAACCACAGCATATACAGCTGTTCCAACCACAGCATATCCAGTTGTTCCAACCACAGCATATACAGCTGTTCCAATCACAGCATACAACTGTTCCAAGCACAGCGTACAATTGTTCCAACCACAGCATATACAGCTGTTCCAACCAGAGCTCCCCTTCCACCTACACCACTTGCACAGGCAATCTCTGGCCAGCACAACGGCAGCATGAACACTAAAGCGGCATATTTTCTCTCAGTCAGCAATGTGTGTGTGTGTTTTTGTTGTTGTTAATATTTGCAGATATTTATTTAAAGTGCAGTAATAATTCAGCGTACAGCATTCCTTCCTCAAGTGCTGAAATGTTTTTATTTGGGCATGGGGGGTATTCCCACGAGGAGCTCATGTGTGAGAACCGTTAAGATGCCAACATTTGTCCCAGACATTTACGAAAGTTTTCCTCACAGCCTTCAGCAGCAGTCTTTATTTTCATGCCAACTGTGAAATGAATTGGCAACATTTTTTTCGTGCCATTTTTCCCCCCCGTGTAATATTTGTAACACGCCGAGATCAAAATGAGTGCAAAACTTTCACGCGTAATTCTAAGCAACATTGACAATTGTTTTTAATTGTGTATGAAGCACATTAGCTGTGAATATCAACATGCACAGCTTTTTACAAGATGTAATAATAGTAACACGTGTGCATATTTACACAGCATTATATCAAAAGATGGCAACCATCATCGTGAAGGTATTACTTCATTGAAAGGTGAATTCTGAAATTAACGTTGAGGGAAAGTAAGCAGACTTTGTCAGGACATGTTGCTCGAATAGATAATGGCCGATGGTCAGAAATAGTGACTGAGTGGCAGCCAAGGAATGTTATAAACTAACAATGAAACCATTTTTTATTGTGTTTTTCCAGGTAAGGCTCATTGAGCTATATTGCTCTTTTTCAGAAGTGACCTGGCCAAATACTCTAAACGCCCCCGTATTTAGTCTGCGAGAACGAAAAACATTCAATATGGAAGAGAGAACGTCCACCGAGGGAGATGGAGTGATGAAATCAGCTCGTTTGCAGGTGGATTATTATATTGCAAGATTACAGTGAGAGATGACGATGGCTTGAGGAGGCCTTCGCCCAGCAGGGGATTGATCATGGCTGATCATGAGGATTACAATTGAATATATGCCTGCCACTCTTCTGTGGCTAAATCTGATGGTTATTACGACACTGAATGAGCAGCTGGCAACTAAAGGTATGGGGGAAATTGATTAATTATTTTACTTAGGAGCAGGTCAATCTCTCATGACATGCAGTTACTAATTAGCAGGAGCGGCCTGTAGGGTTTCATACGTTGAAATCGGTACAATGTTATCTGTTCCTATGAGACCGTGAAATATGTTGAGACGTTATAAAAGAAATACACATTTGTGCGCGTTACATTTTTTTACTTTGCTTAATATGCACATAGCCAGCCATTCTATATTATAAGTGTTGTCCTGACAACCGGCACAACCATATCTTTATGCCTTTGGAATTGTATTTCTTAGCATGCACGTAGAGCAATGGCTTCTTCACTCTGGCATTGAGAGGAAAGATTTGTTCCTTGTTTATTGCCGTTGCTGTGCCAAAACGTCGCGGCTGAAGAATTTAGCTAAATGTAGCGAGAGGCAAACTTTGGGGGTGGGTGCACAGCATTCAGAATTCCATGCGTGTGGGCAAAGTTCAAGGGCGTGCTGAGCTCCCAGCGACCTCCCACCGCTGGGCTCCCAGTAGCACAGCCAGAAAGCAACACAGCAAACGTTGCGGGTGTGGATAGTCATCTAGTTTCAGGCAATTCTATAACAACAACAAAACTAAACTGTTTATTTTATTTTACCAGGTAAGGTCCACTGAGCTATACTGTATAGCTCTTTTTCAGAAGTGACCTGGCCACAAATGATAGCTCAACGAAGTGGCCTATTATCATGTGGAAATTTACCGTGGCCAAATACTTTTAAACGCACATGTTGATTCTTAATGTGGAGGGAGAAAGCGTTGGACCCGGACAAAATTGCACACAACTCGTGATGTGTTTTTTGTGGAGCATTATGGATAATACAACAAATAAATAGACTTACATGTGTCTCTCCGCGTATACATGAAATCTACTTAATTCATCGGTCTGCGGCCTTCAAGACGTACATTGTATCGTCTAGCAGCATGTATTTAAGCAAATATTGGCCTGGTTCTTACTGACTAGAATCCATCAGCAGAGTCGGCCTTGTTAAACAAATACTGCTGGGTTCTCAAATGTTATTGGCCAGGTTAAATATATATTCACAGTGGGGCACTGTTCAGGGAAAAGATAAATATTGTATGTACTATACAGTATATATTAAATCATTGTACACTGTGTTGGTGCATTATGGGGAATTACACATCATGGAGATAATCCACGTCGTGGGTTTTTTGCTTTGATTATTTTCGATTTTAATTTTATTTTATTATTTTATTTTTTGTTTTCTATTTACGTGACTTTACCGAAAGAACCAAGAATACAAGACAATCTACTGTGATTAAATGCTGCAAATGGGAACATATATTTGTATTTTTAAACATTGTGTCAAATATTCGTAAACTGGGTCCACAAGCACCGCAGACCACTCTCCCTCCCTGCGTTACCGTTGTGCGTGTTGCCCGGATCCCTGGATGAAAAGCGTTGCAATCATAACAAGCTGCACCTGTGCACGGCTCGCACGTTCTGTCAAACCTTGACAAGAGAGAATTCATCAATGCCCGCATGCAACAACGGAAGCCACGGGGTCTTCAATTAGCGACGAGTGCCACACCAACCTGCTTCGTGCACAGGTGTGGATGCCAATCATCGCCAAGTGCACAGCGCAACACTATGGTGTTGCTTTCTGTAATAGGCAAAGATGTCCCCCGTGTCGCCTTAACCGACCATTGGGGCAAGTGCTGTCAGCGAGCACCCTATGAGGACCAGAATGTCACACGAGAGGGCGGTGGGTGGCCAGCATCACGCCCGGCCGCATTTGTCTCCCGAGCGGCGAAATGTACACAACCGCACCAGGTACCCATTTGAGGCTGAGTCGACCCAAGGCAGGCACCCAGTGAAAGTGACCTGCAAATATCGCTGGAGTCGCTCACATCACCCTCAATGGGTATTCATTCCTGCAACAGTCGATTTGTGGGCCTGCCTAAGCGCCAGCTCCACTGAGTGCAACGAGCCCAGGTGTCACGGCGCTGTCATCGCCGGCACTCAACCATGCGATCGCATCACACCTGCGCCTCACATTCACTCACCTCTGCCTGACTCCGCCGCCATCAACAGCGCAACGCCCGCATAGCAGGCTAAGGCCACTCTGGGCCACCGGGCAGCAGAGGCCACATTCACAAGAAGCAACATTTGGTGTTCGGATTTGTCTTGTAGAAGTTCTCACAGCATGCCGCGCTTCATATATGAAGACAGCCCTTTTAAGTTGCGTCCATTTCAGAGGCCGCGTTGGTTTGGCCGTGGCGAGGGATGCAATTGAATTTCCGTTGTTGTTGGTATCATGGTCATGGAAGGCAAGGGGCTGTGGCGATAGTCCGTCCTTCTCCTCATGCCAGAAATCAAGTCACTGAAGTAGGGTTTTTTTAAATTCTCCCTTTAAAGAAAAACTCACCCTATGCCGTGCTCAATTATAACTCCACAGTCGGGGTTTCCCCCACAGACAACATTTAATGGATCGTACTATGGAATTAGTGGATTTTTTTTAAACCCACAGTAATTGGGAGAACATCATGACCCATTCCCGAGCAGTATTGTTGGCCAATCCTAACCCAGCCGTACAGACCACCGCGGCGCGCCACCGTCAGAGTCTTCCGAATTCTGTTTGAAAAATCCATCAAAAGAAGAAACCTCTACAGCCATGAGGCGTGTGGCTTCTCCGATTGGTTCGATCATCTCCAGGATACAAGACCGAATCGTAGAATCTGGGAAAAAAAAAGATGTCATCACAGGAGTTGGTTTGATGGTGCAATTAGACTTGTGATTTGAATGATGACAATTGCTCCTTTCTGGACGTGAGGCTCAAATTTGCCACAACTACTAACGTTACATGAAATGCAGCACTTGTGCACAAATCACAACCGCCTAGCAAACTGAACCCGACTCTAAAATGAACCTTTTCCTCATCACGATAGCGGCACTAAGCTGCGCATCGAAACAAACCCAGACGGCAGGCGGCAGTAACGCCCAGAGTGCTATTACATGGTAATTGCTGTAATTACGTGTGACTACTGTAATTACCCAACAATTACCGGGACAAAGCTCGTTACTTAGCAATTACATCGCTGTTACTATGTAATTATCTCGTGAAATATATATTCATACAAGCATTACTTTTAACCAAAATGGAAAAATCCAACCCGTCCCTGCAGCCCCCCCCCCTGCCCCCCACCCCCCGCACACCCCCCAAAGCTCTTGGCCAGCCGTACCCCCCATTTAAAAAGCACTCAGGAGCTGCCCGATTCAGATTCGCACATGCGCTGGCTAGGTGACATCCGTGGAAATCTGCATCCTCGCCGCCACTCCGTTGGGCGAGTGGCATTGGGAGGGAGAACGCTGTTGAATTGGACGAACATTTTTTTTCTCTCGTGTACCGGCAACACAACTGGGTATCAAGGCTCTTTGTGCACCATGGAGCACGGCGGGTCAGTTGGGAATGGGCGATTTTCACCGCGGCGACCGATCGAAGGCGCATGGGATCTGGCCATGACCTCCGCCAGGTCCAAGAGGCCCAGAGAAGTGCGAGACATGTGGAGGGTGTTCAGCCAGGAGGCCGTTGCGGGAGACGGCATGGCCACCGCGCATCACATCGCCACCGATCACGTGGTGTTCGGTCGCACGCGTGGAAATCAGGAGGGCAAAGGTGTGGAGGTGTCCATGTCAAGCTATTCTGCAGAGCTTTCCCATGCTGCAAGGACTGGTGGTAGGTGCACTGTGTTCACCTGCGTTCTATGGGGTGGGGTGTGTGGTTGGGTTATGTTTTTAACACTTCTAGTGCTGTATACTTGGTGCTGTGATTTCCATCTTTCAAACGCTGGTGTGGAGACTATGGTGCTGGGATATGCGGGTTTATTTTTTGGTGTATTTTCTCTGCCGGCCGTTCGCTGGTATTGATTGTCACGTTCTTGCAATCTGACCATCTATGTCATCCAGCCCATGACCTATTAGGGTGCTATTTACTGCAACTAGCGTTCGTCAGAAATGTAATATTTTGATCACACCTCTCACAATGGGCTGAAATAAGCCCCACCTATATACGCCTACGTTAACTTAATATTCAAAAGATGACACAGGTGAAAATGACATGAGAGCTTAAACAACACATGGTGGGAACTGTTCCAGGATGTATAAAAATAGGAAAATAAATGGTTTGCAAAACTTACACAATTACACTCAATGGTAATCACCTGTGACGTTTTTAGGACCTATAATGACATCATGGACACGAAATGCCCACACGTGACTGTGTTATGTCCTCCCAACAATCGTTTGGTAGCGAACAACATTGCCACATCCCCGCAATTTGAAACAGGCGCGCGCAGAAAAAGAAGGACCGCTCAAGCAATCGGCGCGTTCATTAGACAGGGTCAGAGTGCGGGGCTTGTGCTGAGCGAGCCGGGAGCCGCGCGGTTTCGCCGGTGCCGCATTGAGCTCCGATCGTTCGTGCCCGCGGGATGTCAATCGCCGCGGTGTTTGCGTTGACGGCCCGCTTTTTGGTTCCAATATTTGGCCCACTCGCTATAAATTTCCACATGATGATAGACCACTTCGTTGAGCTATCATTTGTGGCCAGGTCACGTCTGAAAAAGAGCTATAAGAATTAACACGAGAAACCCCCCCCCCCATCCCAGCACTATTCTGTGTAAGCGATGAGAAACGCGTCAGGGAGAAAAGGGCGAGCACACTGGAAACTAATACGGGTCAACGTACTCGCTAATCAAGGAGATTTATTTATGTGGGCAGGTAAAAGGCGCGATTTTATGTTGACCTCTATTTAACCAGGTTCAAAAAATTAAAACCTTGAGGTTACAAACCTCTTTCGCGAGGGGGACCAGGCATGCGAGGCCCGAAGGGAAGGACCCAACACGTGCGGGGTCACGATCGTGCCTTTCGCCGTCTACGAATCACCTCTTGCGTGTACTATTAGCTGGGCTTCGTTTGTTGTTGTTCAAGGTATTTCTTTATTCTCATGTCCGATGTATGGTACATTCCAACAACAACACTAAACACAGAGTCTGGCGCTGCAGCTCGTCCGCGTCCTAATTTACAGGGCTCGTTCTGGAGATGTTACAGGGTTGGCTGAACTTTTCCTTGAACGAACACGCGAGGCGTGGGACCAGACGAGGCGGTGGGGGTGCGGAAAGGGCTAATATATGGGGGGGGGGGGCAGGGCGGGGGGGGGGGCAGTGGCTAAGATATAGGAGGCCTAGGAGCCGCGCATGTTGACTGGGGGAAGACCTCACACAGTTCACTCGTCGTGTGTCCTGGTGACACTGGGCCTGACGGTCTCAGATGTGAGGAGGGTTTAAATGGGTTATTATCCCGAATGGATGCCACGTGCTTTTAAAGTCTGCCTCCTTTCCTTTCAGCACGCATCCCCGGTGGTCCAGAGAGGCCAACTGAACACTTTTTCAGCGCTCAGCCCCAAACAACTCCAGGTGAAATTGAGCCCCCACTGTTAAGTCCACTCGCGTTGAGCAATGCGTTCCTCATCGTTAGATCACAGCCAACTGGAAAGGGTTGTCACGCAAACAAATACGTGGCAAATAGTTACTATACTCTATGGTTCTTTCGGTAAAGTCACGTAGGTAAAAAAATAAAAATAGAAATAAAAAATAAAAGTCAATTTAATCGCGACGTTTCGATTGCAACACAAGCAATCATCATCAGGTGTGAAAATCACAGATGATTGATTGTGTTGCAATCGAAACGTCGTGATTTAATGAGCTTTCTATTCATTTAATTTAATTTTATATTTTTATCTCTTATTTTTATTTTATTTTTTACCTACGTGACTTTACCGAAAGAACCAAAGAGTATGGATCCTTGCAGTCACAAAAACTTCAAATCTAGGATGAATTAGTTACTACTTCACATTCATATTTACGCGATCTAACCAAGAAAAAACATGATGGACAATATAATAATATGTAGGGTGGCGAGATGTTAACTACCTAGCCTGGTATACAGGAGGCCGTGGGTTCGATCCCAACCCTGACGCCTGTTCATTTGGAGTTTGCACGTTCTCCCCGTGGTCGCGTGGATTTTTCCCTCCAAATTTAGAATCAACATCACGCGTTTATAGTATTTGACTGCCATAAATTTCCACGCGATGATGATCAGCGGTCCTTCCCTGGTAAGAATGATAACAATATTTAAACATTATTGGTCGCGAAAGCCTACGTGTTGAACGTATTCCGCTCGTTCGACAGACGTTGTGGAGCGTCCTGGCTCGCTACTGCACGCGGAGGTGCTGCGGAGGGAGCTGGAAGCGGCGAGGCACCGCATCGCCGTGTTGGAGAGGAGCAACAAGCACCTCCAGGCAGACAAGGAGTTCCTACAGAGCGTGCTCAGCAAAGGAGGCGAGCCGCTCACGTCTCAAAGCCGCCCTCGGTGGAAATCCACAAAAAGCCGGTCGCTCCGCTCCGCGGACGTTGCCCACTATCTGTCGCAGTAATGTACGTGTGGACGCGCGGAGAGAGAGAGAGAGAGCCCTTGGTCAATCCACTGCTGGATGAGGGCCATCCCCACGTCGTGGAGGTCGTGGGAGATTTGACCATAATTAACCCCACTGGCCACTGCGGATTGGTGAAGGCAGGGAGCATACAGGAGTACAATACAATTTAGTTTTTTTTCCTGCACCGTCCTCTTCTGCTCGCAGCTTAGCCTGTAAGACACCTGCTGTGCGTGGCGCTCACCCATGCAAGATCTATCCAGGCGCAATCTTCCATGATCTGACAAGATCGGGCGCTTACATTGCAGGTCATTGGGTCATAGATCTTACATGAATAGGTATCATGGTTTAAAATCTGTGTATTAATGCTTTGTCCTCATGCTCTCCCCTTGTTATAAATATTCATGTTTTACGTTGGGGTATGGTCGGTAGTGTAAGGGAACGTTAATGTGTCATGCACCCTTCTTTTGAGCAGTATTCACTTAAACAAACGGGCCTCCCGTAAAGAGTGTCACAGGCACAGTATATCCATCTTGACTTAGCTGTCCAGTTCAAAGTGACAACATTCGAACTTTAATCGAAAGGAACAGGTAAACGCTACTTAACCCAAATATGCTAATTCCGAGAAGTTGTTTAATTCAAAACAAACTGCAGGTTTGTGAGAAGTGTTCCCCCCCCCCCCAAATAAAAATAAAAATAAGCACGCATACAAACACTGTTGGAAAATTTGCGTAGTGCGCACAGAGGCACACTGAACAGGCGAGTGCACAGTTCACAGAAGTGCCCCCATTGACCACGCAGCGCGTCGAGTCGGCACGCGGGACGCTTCGGGAAAGAAAAAGTGTGCACGTGGCTGCCTTGGCTCACGGCTGGGCACGCTCCCAACGAAAACAGCAGCGCGCGAAGTACGCGCACCTCTCCCCCACGCTGTCTCCGAAGAGGCCCAACAACACGTGCCATTGTGTACGCTTGCGCACAAGACGATTATCTCGTAACCCAGTCCAGGTCCTTTTTTTTTTTTTGGGACTGGTTCGCCAAAGGGCACGTAGGCTCGCAAACTCGCGGTCATTTTAGTTTCCCCGTGGCTCAGGAGCTTTCCGTCAAAAAGCGAATTGCGCACTTTTAAAGCGACCGCAGGGATTTAGTCGGGCGGCCGTTGCGTGCGGCTGGCCTGCAGAGAGGTTTTTCTGTCTTTTTTGTTGTTGTTGTTGTCGTTGTTGTGGCAGGTTTTTGACATCGAGAACTATCGCGCGTGCGCAACTTGCCCACTCTTACCCTCCTTGAACTGATTGATTTTCTGAGTAACTCGGCACGCTCACTGCTCGGCACATTGTCGTGACGAGTAACATGTGACCCGACGGGTCGATGTGAAGCGGCGCGTTAGAATGCGCCGCTCAGCCAGAACTTTGGATTTTTTTGGCGACTGCCACGATGCTGGGACATGCGCAAAATAATCGCTTCTCCCCTGGTGCCGGTTACCCCAAACCAGGATGAGACGAAGCACAAACTCACAGAGATCATTCTGCAGCCTCTGATCTGACCAGGACCTTCCAATTTCCCTAGCACATGGTGTGCTTGCTGGCACAGAGTATGGCACATCTAAAAAAAACCCAACCTTAAAAAAACTGTTGGGTGGGGAGAGAAGCAAATGGAATACATGGTGGAGGAAGGTCCGAGTGGAGCCTAGCGATATGGCAGAATAGCTACCTCCTGCTGTTAGGGCTGGACAATCGGGCTTAGAGAACAGGCCAAGAAAAACCGTTAAATTTAGATTTAACAACAGCGAAGGCACAGAATATTAGTACAAGGAGAAAGACAATAAATGCGGCCGATCCCATGCAATGATAGGGCCTTTTTGGCTTAGAACAAGAGAATAAGAAGCCATGATGCTAGCTGGCCATGAAAATGTCACTGTGACACTCGACATGTGTGGTGTAGTCAGCTTGAGCATAGCTGCCCGTGGTGGCACATGCCTGCGATCCAGCGCTTTGGAGGCAAGGGTTGGTGCATCGCGCAGGTTTGTGAAATTCCAAAACCTGCTGGGCTGTGAGATGCCAATTAACGGCAGTACAGTAATTTAATTATATGCATCTTTCTGTGTAGAGCTTTGAGTATTATCTCCTTGTATGCAAGGGTCTTCTCCAGGTATTCTGGTTTCCTCCCAAGTACCATTAGGTGATCGCTCAATTTGGCCAAACTGACCACAACACATGACCCTTAAACAAATAGTTTTGGGACTCAGTGATAATTTCATTGTTATATAAGTGTCAAGTCCTGCTTGATAGCTCAAACAAGTGTTCTTCTTAGTGGTTTGTATTCCAAACAATACTGAGCATCAGACTTTGGTACTCAATGTAACTGAGAATCCAGTTGCCGATGTGGCCATTGTGTTACCTTCTCTATATAATCCATGAATATGAATTAAACCATGTCCATCAAGGCAAAACAATGTTCATGATCAAATCTGAAATAAGCCAAATTTTATTCAATACATACAGTCATTTGGTGGCCAGGCAGAAACCATCACCTCAATACACTTGAGAGCCCAGGTGGGTGGCTGCCTAGATTATGCCCTTTATAAATCAGCGTTTCACATGCAAATGTGACGTTTCTAACTAGAACTCATATCATAAAGAGAGGGTCTTTGCCTGTGCAATCGTAGTTCACCAGAATTGAATCAAGCAAGGCTGACTGTTGATGAGACACTGCTGAAAACAGTCCAGAGTTTGCTTGTCTTAAATCAATACTGCTGAAATGATGCACTCCCAGAATTCTGTGCGGCTCATGGGTTGCGCAAAAGATACTTTTATATGTTACGTGGAGAGACGGAGATGTGACGGAGACATTGTCCGGTTGTTGATTTTGTTGTGTTGAGCATTCGCTCAATACTCTGACCATACAGCCACCCAACCACCTTATCATCTTTTTGTTGTTGTGCGCGTGGATTGTTTCAGGGGAGACATCAAGCTCCAACAGGGCCCCGCTGCCAAAACGGCGCCGTTCCGCAGCGGACGCCGAAGCGTCGCCGCCACCGTCGCCTGGCAACTCACAGAGCAGTTCCTCCTCAGACACGGCCGACGGGATGGACCCAGAGGCAGGCCGACACACGTGCCCTCCAGGGAACTACCACCGAGGCTGCAGGAAGGCGAACAAGGGGGGCTGCGGGAAGGAAGGCTTACGCAAGGGCATCCGAGGCGAGTGCTTGGATTGATGCCACGAACTTGTGAAATTCGTTTTGAATCAGTCGAACTTTCGGACTAGATGTGCACCGTGTGTGTGTGTGTTTTGTGAGTGGTTCAGCTGGGCTGCGGAGGAAATCAACTTGGATTAAGGTCATACAAGCCTCATTGTATGTACTGGGATACTGTTTCCCATATATCGGAATATTACGCGGCTGCCTGATATTAATAAGCGAAATTAAAGAAAAGCCACTGCCCAATAACCCACCTGGTCCAGCATATGATGTATTTGATTTTGTTTCAGGCAGTGTTCATGGAAAATATTGAGTTTCGTTATTTGGTCTTCTGATCCACTGCCAATGCGGCACCACATATTAACACATTAACCCTTTCCCATTCAATGACGTACGTGTATGTACGTGTACTTCATCAGAACGGAATCGGAAGAAAAACTTAAAAATAAAATAACTTTACCAGTACGTCTTCAGGCCGGAAGAGCGTGGATGCGCTCGTAATAGCCCAGTGCATCTTTCTGAATGCTCTCTTGTATCGCCGCAACAGTGAAGTCGGTGGAGGACGTCGTCTGGCGCTATAAGAAGGTGCTGTCGGTGTACCAGAAGACGAGGAGCGTGAAGCGTGCTTGTGAGAAGATGAATGTGGACAGGAACACCATCGCCCTCACGGCCCCCATCGTGGACCTGGAGGTCGTGGCACCAGGCCTCTATGCCACGGTGGGGCCGCACGACGGGCGGACGGAACGCCTGCTCGACTTCTCCCGCCGGTGCTGGCACGCCATGGACGAGGCGACGCGCGTGAACGTCGACAAGATGAAGGCCGAGGGGAAGCTGCTGCCCATCAGCTACAAGTTCAAGCGAATGGTTCCACAGCAGGCTCCACAGGCTCAACAGTGATCGGGGTCCATCTCTGGGCCAAACTACTTTTTGGAAATGTACGAGATTTTGTTCATGAAATCTTTTAACTAAAATCTGCTCTGATGCCCTCCAGTGTGGTTTAGTTTGTAGGGAAGGACATTTATTTCTTAGGTGGGGTCAACTGTTTTTTTGTTACACCAGGGAATGCCACAGGTAGTGTGTGGTCAAATGATAATGACGCTGTTCCAGCTTCTGTACAACGGACTCCTAAATCTATGTGTGTGGAGTTTTCAGCGTTCAACCATTCATGTGCATGGGTTGTCTCGAGGTACTCAGCGCTCCCACAAGCCACACACTCATGAAGTGAATCGACCAAACACCCTCATGTAGCAGGGCCCTCCTGAAAAAAAGTCTCAAAACTCAATGAGGCATTCCTGGATAAATACAATGTATTACTATTATTACCATTGCTATAGAAATATGCCATCATAATATAACCTAAAACTGTGTTTGCAGAAAATGACAAAGCTCTATATGGAAACAGAGGAGATACTGCGAAGTGCAATTCCCACTTTACATTTGCACAAGAGGGCCCTCACGGTAAGGTGGCATGCCGTCATTTGCCGAGCCAAAATAATGCAACTTTGGCTTCCTAAAATATATTATTATGGCTTAGAGCCAATAGTAGCTGGCCAGGGAATGGGTTTAAAACGTATTGTCGTACTCATCGCGCGTGGCATGAGTGGCACGGTTCGGGTTCTGCAGTGGAAAAAATAACCTGGTGCCTCCTGAGGCGAGCCCAACTCGGGTGCAGTTCCGTTGTAAGGACAAAAAGAGGTACAGGAGTTCGAAGGTCAAAAAAACCTACCATCAAATTGTGTATCTATTGTGTCAGGCAGTGCAGCTTCAGTCGAAATAAGAAACCAGGCTTTAAACAAAGTGCTGATGGAAAGAAAAGTCCTGCTAGAACGGTTCTGAATGGACCTGGGATTTGCTGATGCCCTCTACAATTCAGAGGAAGGGTTTCAAGGCACCATTTGTAAAAGATGCTCAACAAATAGAGCACATAAGACGTGGAGACTCTTGGCCTCCAGAGACCATAAAGGCTGCCTTTGTCTGATGATGATGATGATTAATGAAGAGCGAATTATTATGAAGGGTCAAACAATGTATTAAAGTGTGGCAAACCATAACTAAATATTGAACCAGAGAGCACGTGTGGGCCTAATCAAGCTGTCTCATGACCAAAGTCCTGTGAAAAAATTGGATTTGATTAATGTTTGTGAGTAAAATATAGCACTCGGTGTGAAATTATCCATTATCTTGCTGTGTTCGTCAGTTTTCCATAGAGGAATGTGATGATAAGCTAACAAGGAATACGAAAACATCACACAATTAAAAACACAACTCAACATAAACTAAAATATTGCAGTTTAACAGCAAACATTAACAAATGTGGTTTACTTGCGTAAGAATAAATAGATGTTTAGAATATATGACATGTTTATGCGGCCACTTCCTGGTGTCCCAACAGTAGTGATATAAACATTGTTGAGATAAAAAACGGAGCTGCTATCCACAGACCAGCGTTCCCCTGCTCAAAATAACGACTGCTCTGTCACACAAACATAAAATATTTCTAGCTTTTTATATCGAGACATCAAATATCTTTCCTGGGGAAGGGGGGTGGGGGTGATGACACAGTGATGATCACATTGCGCCGTCAACCCAGAAACCTGAGTTAGATTCCAGCCACGGCTAACATTAGTGGCGAGTGATATCTGAACGAGTCCTGATCACCATCCACCCTCTTCACCGAGCCACACTCACCAGTCTGGTGAAGTATGAATAAATAATCCGCATACATTACATGGCGTTTGGAGACCTTCATCAAGCAGTGGACTAACAAGGCGTTTACATTTTTACTGTCGCCAATTATTTTTTATCGCTTGCTAAATGCATTTCTGATGTACTACATCGGCTCTGCAACCGTCCAACAGTGGTGATGCACACGCTGAATGCTAACAATTGTAGTCTTTGTGCCCAACGTACCTCCGAGGAGCAAATTGCCATGTCAAGTGTAAGGTCAAGACGTCATCTTGGCCAATGCTGCTTATGCTGTCACAATCGATAAATGAGCGTCCCTTCGTCAAACTATTGCTGGATTAGTCATGTGGGTTGTCTGACTATACTTCACCATTCTCATCGGTGCACATTGGTGAGTTGGGGGCCCAGGACCGGTTTAGATATTTGCCGAGGTTGAAAATCGAACACGGGCCACCAGCTTCTTAGTGCGATGTGCCTCTGCTTTCCCCTTTATGCCATACATTACAAGGAAGCACTTTTTGAAAATATCTGAACCATGGTGGTAAAGTATAAAATGCACTATTTACTTTGTTGGTCATATTATATCTGGGCTAATTCATTTACGTTTCAGGTTGAATTCAAAGCATGTACCTAGTCGCCTCGGATGTTAATTCATAATTTTCACATTACCATGCTGTCTGTAAGTTAACAATGACTAAACTGTGTTGTGTTCAAATACTATAATGGGTATACTATGGTTCTCTGTTGTAACGTAGAAAATAATGTAGCCAGACACAGTGTTTGTGGAACAAATTTGGTCATTGAAGCAATGCAATTAAGTGTCAAGTTTCTAAAGTTTATCTTTCTGAGGTCATCTAACTTTTTTCTATGAGGTCGTGTAAACTAAAAAAAAAATCACCTCTCACGGGCCTCTGAAGGCAATATTTTTTTTCTGTTGAATAAAAACATTTAGAAAGCAACTTTTTGCCCTGTTACATACGTTGCTGTATTTCTTGCACCCGTTCCAATGATCTGCAATGGTTCTTTTAAGTTAATTAGACATTTCGGAGCCAATTTAAATGTAGAGATCGACTTTGTGCACATGACAAACACACAGGCACACGTTTGTGGCCCCTTGAAATTGCATTGTTATATCTGTCATTTCATTTACAGTCGCACGAGTGTAGCTTTCACCAGCGGCGCCAACAACCATGTATCGCGAGGTTGTAAGGTGAACGGTGCTCTCGCGCGGAACAAAGACAAATGTTTGTCACAGATGGGTGAGTGGAGGCAAGATGGGGTTCATGTTGAGACCATAATTCTGGGATTGTTCATCTTGGCTTTGGCTCCTGGTTTATCCAAAGTGGCAGTGGCACATGCGGCCCGAATAACGCGAATGATCCAAAACAAAGCTTTTGAACAATTTGAGAGGAAATTAACCAAAACTACATTTACATTTTTTTTGGCATTTTCAAAGAATGTTCAGGAGCTCAATTGGACCTCGAATGTTTCCTCCTAATTTCCAGACGAACTCTTCAGCAAAGACTAATGGGATGTGTTTGGTAGAAAAAGGCCCTTGATGAGAGCTTCGTGAACCTATCACGCACTCTGAAAGGGCGAATGTTTTTGCACGTGCCGTGCCGCGGACTTCTCCCATTGTTATTTCACGCTCGGTGCGGCATAACAAAGCCGGTTAAATCTGCCAAGCAGACCGTGTAAGTAGTTATGGCATAGCAGCGACACACTCGGGATGTTTAAAAGCAGCTGCGCAAACTCTGTTATCTGATTTGAGTGTTATTTGTGGAAGCGAAGATCAATGTTAATGCACATCCTAGCCGGCTGGCTGGCCAGCGCAGGCCCTCTGGGTGTCCTCCACAAGGCCACAATAATGTGGGGTGTTCAAGGTTGATTGAGACACTGGCGGTGGGTGACAAGCCTCGAGCGCTTTTATTTAGATGCGGTGTGTCTGTGCGAAGCGGCCCTGGATTCAGTGTGGGCGCAAGCACTTACACAGTTTTGTAAACACTGTGGGTGAAGCGATGCACTCCACCCCCCCCACCCCAGTGAGTTGATGAATTACCTCTCTGATGCACTCAGTCTATTCACCTGAAGGAGCTCACAGAACGCGGAGCAAAGCGTTGAATATCGTGCCGAACATGAAGCGGAACACGCCGACAACATCACATAACTGCACAGCACAACCGCTGTAACTCCACGCGGTTGATTTGATGGGCTTGCAAACTGCACCACCGCAATTTGATAAAACAATTAATTGATTAATTTTACACATCGCGAGGAATGGCAGCATTTGTATTGGCTGCTGCAGAGGCATTGCGAAACTATTATGTACAACAAACATTTTAAATAAGTAAATAGATAATTCTTACACGTACAATTGTATGGCTGTTTCGTGAGCTAAAGAATGAATATTAATCAACAAATTCATGCATCTGTGCCACCCCAAGCAAACACCGAACTGAAACCTCCAGTTTGGACTCGGAACTTTATTGTCACTGAGAAAAAAAATATCTCAATAATAAATTTGTCATAGTGCAATATATCAAAAGCCTGTCTACCCGACTGTATACACGGGATGCACCTCAGAAAGTCTATCAGCAGGTCACACGTGTTGGGATCATTTGTGGGTACTCCTACCTCTACCACGAAGTCTGGATGGTATGAAGGAAAATATCAATTACCTTCCCCATCACCACTCGAGCTCCCCCTATTAGGGAACTTTCAGCCATCAGTGGCATGAGCAAGACAAGTCAGGGCTGCACCTGTGTGCTTTTTTTACCATTTCACACATTCTGTGACAAAAATGCATTTGAAGCAATGGCAGGAGACTGAGTGCATTTCTGCACAGATGTGAATATGCGCAACACTTCACTGAGTTCACTCAGAGCTACTTAAACCCCTCTCGGTGTGCTGTCAAACCGCGCGGGAAGGTGACAGTCCCAGACTTGGCGACGTGCAGCTTAGTCTAACCCCGCATCCAGTCAAACCAACCACCAGCCAGCCAGACATAAAGAAGGCAGCTACATAACAATCGTAGGCTTAACCGAAAGCCCACCCATCTTCGGAGCCAGACACTTTCCATGGCCTGAGATTGCGATGACTATACATTGCCTGCAGGAAATAACAGTAGTTACAGAGCCATCTGTAAAGCATCAAAACTTGGGACGCAACTCCCATGTACATGTTTTGAAAAGCATGTTTTCTTAATGCTCGGGTTATTTAGCTCGTCATTTAGCACACAATTTGACGCAACCTTTCTTTCCGTATACTTTTCTTTACTCACACGCACAGTTGAAGTTTGTTGTGGTGCATTAAATAATACGTTATTGGCTTCATTTTAAAGCAGGTAAGAGCTCGATGGATGGATTATTGTATTTCAGGATTGTGAGAAGTGGTGGCAGTTTGAACAGGTCTTCGTCCAGCAGTGGTTTGACCATGGCTGACAATGATGACGAAGATCCCATTGCAACAGAAAGTATATATTTCAAGGAAAACCTGATTTAGAACAAGGACGGTATAAAATGCAAGAAAATGGTACAAAAATAAAACAATTAAAAAGTGAAATAAAATAGAAACTCAAAGATCTGCAGCATTTTCTTTGGTTCTTTCGGTAAGGTCACGTAGAATGAGAATAAAATAATAAAATAACACAATAAAATTCTCACGACGTTTCGGCCACAACGCAAGCGGCCGTCTTCAGGTGAAAGGTGCAGACCTGTCGCTTGCGTTGTGGCCGAAACGTCGTGAGAATTTTATTGTGTTATTTTATTATTTTATTCTCATTCTACGTAACCTTACCGAAGGAACCAAAGAAGATGAATCCTTGCAGTCACGAAAGCTTTAAATCGAAATCTGCAGCATTATTACAAATGAAATATATGGTTCAACTGACCGAGTGACAAGGAATTTTGCTTCAATAATGCAGTCACACTATCTTTGCTGAGATTCTAAAAGGTGAAGATTGATCGTGATGCACTAGTGTCTAAGTGTTATTAATACAACTGCAAAGTGGGGCTCAAGATAAATACTGTATGAGCAGAAACAAAAGTAACGTAGAACAGAATTTGGCTCAACAATTGAAATTATCTGTCAGTGGGACACAGCTGGAAAATATGAATATCTCGTATTTAAGGTGGGCTGACATCAAAATGACGATATAAAAAATGTGAATAAGAGCAGGTTACGAGTGCTCTTATTCACATTTTTACTTAATGTGGCTTATGGATCAATAATGTGGATATTTCTTTGAAAATGGAAATAAAGCTAAAAAGGTACCAAGAACCGCTTATAAGTGCACGCTTCGAATTACACTGTGAGACGAACAGAGGAACACGTGGATAAGATAATGGATGAAAGTTATATACATCAGAAAACAATATGGTCTTTGACAGTACATGTGTGTAACTAGAAATGATGATTGGAGGACGGCTGCGACTGGTGACTGAATGGCAGCTAAAGTCGGAAGCCACACGTGAGATGATAACCACCGTGGTGGAGATTAGACCATGTGAAGGTGCTTGATGGGATTGTTGTATCGCAGAATCACGAGAGTGGCGACGACTTCGTGAGGTCTTCAATCAGCAGTGGATTGATCATGGTTGAAGATAATGAGGATATAAATCAATGGATATTCTTTGGAACAAGATAATCGCTTGTTGAGACGAGTCTTTTTTGCAAGGGAGATATGGAGAAAAGACCTTGAAGCATCACGCTCTACGCATAGTTTTGGACAATCTTGTTGTGAAACAAATGTTGGGTGATTTGAACTCTGGCTCTTGTCGCCGTGATGTTTTCATCTGGCAAGTTATGAGGCACACAATCAATAATTGTCTCCTCCTTTGAAGAGATGTGAAGCTTCCAGTCCCATCTGTTTCCTCTCAAGATGGCAAAGTGAATATGGGGTTGTGAATCGATCATCATTCCCGTTAAATGCTGGCTTGAACGACGTGCATTCGTTTAAAGATGAATAATTATATAATTTTGATTTAAAGCTTTCGTGACTGCAGCAATTCATATTCTTAGCTCTTTCGGTAAAGTCACGTTGAAGGGAAACAATAAAATAATGAAATATATTTTTTTATTTTATTGTTTCCCTTCAACGTGACTTTACCGAAAGAGTTAAGAATATAATGATATAATGTCCTGAAAATCTATGGGAATGACTAATCTGGTAGTGGTGGTTGTGGAAAAAGCATGTTTTCATATTCATATTGCTGCGTAGGCTTATGAGGTTGTGCTGTACAGCTTTCCATTGTGTATTTTGGCTTATACCGTGCATTATTCGACATGACGTCCGATGTTTCGCTCCATGTGCTGGAAGCTTCTACAGGAACTGAATACATGATTTAAGATGTACATGAAATTATGTACATGACATAGTTTTTATACGAAGAAATATTGATATCACCTACGAATGCGACACCTCTAAGGCTATATATGATATGTATGAAAGGTCACACATACATAGTTACAGTTTACAATATAGTAAAATGTATTATTTGTAAAAAAATGTTGCTTCCATAAAACTGTGCACTCATTGTAGAATAACATTTCAATTATAAGAAAATGTTTAGTGTAAAAAAAAAATCATCACAGGTATCCCATTCGCTAAATATTGTGACAGTTCTTGCATAAACAAACGGAGCATATCGTTGCTTTGGAACATTAAACAAAATGAATCATTTTTGTACTCCTTTTAAAAAATAACTCTGGTGGAAAAAAAAGTGAACCTTTCACTTGTCAGATGTCATCAAGCCAAAAAATTCCCAATTTTCTTTTTCTTGTTCCAACTTAAAAATGTTCAGTGTGTGTACATAATTAAGGGAAGCATGACAACTGCATACCCCAGCTCAGACACCCAAGCTTCCAATTTTTTTTTTAAAATAAAGCCTGTCTCACGCACTCCTTGTCTTATTTCTGTGTTCAACATTTATCAGAATTAGCCAGACGGGAGCTGATGGGGTGAGCACAGAGCGACTTCGGTTTAACCTGCGGGCAAGGCGGGCCTGTGGCCCAGACGGAATGCTTGGAGCCAGACATCGAGTAGGAAGGGTGGGGGGATCACGTTTCTGCCAGAAACACACTGCATCCTGAAAGCGCTGACTCGGA